AGAGAGAGCTTGTACCTAAATAAAACTTGTTCTTAAAGGTGCCACTGGACTGTTTTGGACCGGGGGGGCGGGGGAGGGCGCGGGGGGGTCTCTGCAATTTACCTGGCTGCTTCTTGCTCTGACCAAGGGCTGCTGGGAGCAGGGGGTGGGGCTTCTTGCATGTGCTTGCCCCCTTGGCTGTTTACTGCCGGAGCTCCGCTCCTGTGCACTCCTGCAGGAAATGACCCCTATGTATATGTATGCGTATATGTATGTGTGTGTATATATATATGTGTGTGTGTGTGTATATCCTTTTTAAGGTATTTTATGCCAATAACGGTCAACTGAACTGAACTGAACTGAATCAGAGCAAAGCTGGAGTCCAGCAGCACCTTTAAGACCAACAAAGTTTGGCCAGTTCCTCTGGAGGGACAACAACAGGGTATAGAGGCCGAGGCCTTCATAAGGACATCAGAAGAGGCCTGCTGGATCAGACCAGTGAGGGCCCATCTTCTCCAGCATCCTGTCTCACACAGTTCCTATGGAGGGCCAACAACAGGGCAGAGAGGCCGAGGCCTTCATAAGAACCTCAAAAGAGCCCTGCTGGATCAGACCAGGGGTCCATCTAGTCCAGCCTCCTGTCTCAAACAGAGGTCAACCAGTTCCTCTGGAGGGCCAACAACAGGGCAGAGAGGCCGAGGCCTTCACTAGAACACCAGAAGAGCCCTGCTGGATCAGACCAGTTGTCCATCTAGTCCAGCATCCTGTCTCACACAGTGGCCAACCAGTTCCTGTGCAGGGCCAGCAACAGGGCAGAGAAGCCGAGGCCTTTCCCTGATGTTACCTCCTGGCAATGGTATTCAGAGACTGACTGTTTCCTGGCAAATTGAATCCCCAGCTGATGCTCCGACTTTGCGGCACCCATTCTGCTAAAGGGCTTTTATTTCAGGGAATTTCTTCTTGAATTCAGATCTGACCCTCCCCACGTGTTCCATACTTCTTTTGAAAAGGGGCTGTGCAGCTCTGTTGTCATGTATTTGTCAATGATGGAACCGCCCTTTATTTGCGCATGTGTAGTAACGTTATAACATCATAACTTAATAATAATAATAATAAGAAGAAGATATTGGATTTATACCCTGCCCTTCACTCAGAGTCTCAGAGCGGCTTACAATCTCCTTTCCCTTCCCTTCCCCACAACAGACACCCTGTGAGGTCGGTGGGGCTGAGAGATCTCTCTGAAGAACTGCCCTTGAGAGAACAGGTCTGAGAGAACTTGTGACTGAGCCAAGGTCACACCAGCAGCTGCAAGTGGAGGAGTGGGGAATCAAACCCGGTTCTCCCAGATTAGAGTCCGCGTACTTAACCACTGCTCCAAAAAGGCTGCATGGTTGCTGCCATTTCAAAGGTTCCCCACTCCTCCTCAGTCGCCAACTGAGAAAATGGCCGGCAAAGATTCCCACAAAATCCTGATGAAAATAGTATTCCATTCACGATGGTCAAACTGGAGACACCAATTCATAACAGTGTTATTCAATAATTATGAAGCACGCTAAATGGAAACCCTGCACATGTTGAGTTTCCATTATTATCAAATCAGTTATATAATTCCGGTCATTTCAGATGTTTAAAATACTGAATTGTCATAGAAAACACACTGGGATCTACAGGAGAAGAGAACGGGTGGGTGGGAGGAGAATGAAGAAACAATACAAGCATGAGATGAAAAAACCTACCAAAGAAAGAAAGAAAGAAAGAAAGAAAGAAAGAAAGAAAGAAAGAAAGAAAGAAAGAAAGAAAGAAAGAAAGAGAGAGAGAGAGAGAGAGTCATGGATGGCTGCATTACACCTCACTGCTTATTTTGTCTCTGCATTATAACACAGTGATATTATTACGTTGGAAACCAGTGTCATAACGCAATCAAAACTATGCTTTAAAAATATCAGTCTATTGTTCTGGGGTCTAGGGGGGCCAGGGGGCGGGTGTGAATGTGACAATGATGCCACAAAAGGGCGGCGGGAAACTAAATTCAGTTTCAGGAATTCCACACCTGAAAACTCTGAGTTAATACCCAAAGGAGAAAAAAAGGGCAGGAAAAGTGGATCCAGAAAACATGGGGTAATGGGACAGTAAATTCGGAGTTACTCTTGGAGCAGCCAAAGATTGTGCAGAACGTTTGAGAAACATCAATGGTTAAAGAACGCCGATGCGGCGGTTCGCACGTGTGTGGAAATAGTTTGAGACCCTGGACAGCCACTGCTAATCTGAGTAGACGATGCTAACTTAGATGGACCGGTGGTCCAGATTCAGTATAAGGCAGCTTCCTGTGTGTGTTTTTGAAGAGGGGCTGTGGCTCAGTGAAAGAGCCTCTGCCTGGCATGCAGAAGGTCCCAGGTTCAATCCCCACCATCTCCAGTTGAAAGGACCAGGCAGGAGGTGATGTGAAAGACCTCCACCTGAGACCCTGGAGAGCTGTAAAGAGGGGCCGTGGCTCAGTGGAAGAGCCTCTGCCTGGCATGCAGGAGGTCCCAGGTTCAGTCCTCGGCATCTCCAGCTGAAAGGACCAGTTGGTGAGTGATGTGGAAGACCTCTGCCTGACAACCTGAATGGCTTCTGTCACCAGTCTGAATAGATGATACTGACCTTGATAGACTGATGGTCCTATTCAGTATAAGGCAGCTTCCTGTGTGTGTTTTTGAGGAGGGGCTGTGGCTCAGTGGAAGAGCCTCTGCCTGGCATGCAGGAGGTCCCAGGTTCAGTTTCTCGGCATCTCCAGTTGAAAGGACCAGACAGTAGGTGACATGAAAGACCTCTGCCTGAGACCCTGGAGAGCTGCTGCCAGGTTGAGTAGACAATACTGACCTGATCGACCGATGGTCTGATTCAGTATAAGGCAGCTTCCTGTGCTCAAGCCTACGGAGAGGGTGGAGTGCTGTGTCCCAGGCAGAAACGTCCGTGATGCCAGTGCTGTTTTGTGGGCAGAAGCTTGACCTTGCCAGAGCAGAGACCTAAACAAGCCGAGAGGCTGCCTTTGGAAATGGAGCTGATGGGCGGAGGCCAAGCCAATAAAAACATTTGGGGACAATAAATAAGTTTTATTGGCTCTTTTTTATGGGCCACAGTTTGTTAGAACATTTGAAGAACGGGAGGGAGAGATATAGAGGCACAAAAAGAAGATGACTTTTCCCGTCAGGCCCAGTGAAACATTTACCGCGTTGCCAACACAAGGCGATGTTTGTGCCCTCAGCGACTCACAGCGCAGTCCTAAGGAGGGGGCAGAAAGCGCTCAGGGAGCCAGCTGACCTTTGCATCGGCGTATGTCCAAGTTACGCCATCGTACGGGCCAGTTACGTTGGCATCAGGCCCCCAGTGCCGCTCAGCTGCTGGTGGAAAGGTGCGTTGGCTACCTGTTGGTGCAACCCAGGCATTCCCCCTTGCGCCGGTGTGGTTGTGGGCGGTTTCGTGTAGTGGTTAAGTGCGCGGACTCTAATCTGGGAGAACTGGGTTTGATTCCCCACTCCTCCACTTGCACCTGCTGGATGACCTTGGGCAAGCCGTAGTTCTAACAAGAGCTGTTCTTGAAAAAGAGCCGTCTCTGTCAGAGCTCTCTCAGCCCCACCTACCTCACAGGGTGTCTGTTGTGGGGAGGGGAAGGGAAAGGAGATTGAAAGCCGCTCTGAGACACCTTTGGGTAGTGAAGGGCAGGGTATAAATCCAATCTCTTCTTCTTCCCCATGTTTCTGGAAGCCCAACAGAAGTGCCAGAATTGTCATTTTGCCCTTGTGCAGTACCTAAGCAAGGAACACACTGGGGATACTGCAGTTGTTTGTAGACAGTGGAAAAGGGGACAGACCTAGACTAATAAAGCTGCACAGCAGGTGTTTTAAAAAAAGGGAGAGACCAAGACTGGAAGGGAGTGGTTAAAGTTGGGATGCGATCCTCTAGGCGGGACCGATGCTCCCTCTAAACTGTGGAGTCTTGTGAGCAAAAATTCTACTTTGCGAGGGAGGGGAAGGGAAAGGAGATTGTAAGCCGCTCTGAGACTCCTTCGGGTAGTGACGGGCGGGGTATAAATCCAGTCTTTTCTCCTCTTCTTCTTTTGGGGGCGTAGCCAGAGTTAATTGGCTCCCTGAGCCCTTTCAGCCTGGGACACCCCCCATACACACCAGAGTCGGACAGTTATGCCAACAAAAAACATGGTGTGGCCAATAGGCGCCAATTGAACTGAACACTCAAGTCTTCTATTCTTTCCCTTGCACCAGTTGCTTGAAGGTGAAAGAAGACGGGGACGGCAAAGGATGAGATGGTTAGACAGTGTCATAGATGCAACGAACATGAAGCTGAGCAAACTTCAGAGGACGGCGGAAGACCAAAAGGCCTGGCGTGATCTGGTCCATGGGGTCGCGAAGAGTCGGACCCAACTGTACGACTGAACAACAACAAGTTGCTTGCAGGCCTCAGTTTGGTATAGTGGTTAGGAGCGCGGGCTTTAATCTGAGAGAACCGGGTTTGATTCCCCACTCCTCCACATGCAGCCAGCTGGGTGACCTTGGGTCAGTCACAAGTTCTCTCAGAGCTGTTCTCTCAGGGGGCAGTCCTCGAAAAAGCTCTCTCAGCCCCACCTCCCTCACAGGGTGTCTGTTGTGGGGAGCGGGAGGGGAAGGAGATTGGAAGATGCTCTGAGACTCCGTTGGGTAGTGAAGGGTGGGGTATAAACCCAATCTCCTCCTCCTCCTCTTCTTCATCTTCGTCTTCTCTTCTGTGTGAAGGGAGAGGGGCCAGAGGGCGATCTGGGTGAATGAGACAGCTCGGTGCAGTAGTTCAATCCCATCCCCGGCTTGTACCACGGAAGCTAGGTGGGTGATCTTGGGCCAGATGCATGCCCTCGGCCTAAGTGACCTCATGGGGTTGTCGTGAGCGTGAAGGAGGAGAGGGGAATGATGTAGGTCACTCGGCGGAGAAGGGTCGGAAATAAACTGAGTGAACGAATGAAGTTCAGAACGGTGTGTCTGCTCAGTACTCCAGGAAGGGGGGGGGGCTTCTTCCACCCAGGGGGAAGGCATCTGTGAAGGTAACACTGAGGGGGCAGGGATCACGGGGGTCCCTGGAGTCAGTGACTGTGGGGGGGGAGCCAACGCAGCAAGTTGCTATGTGAACCATAAGGGAGTTATGGGACAGTTGTGAATGGTGTGTGAGTGTATAAGAATATTGTTGTAGATCACCGAAATGATTGCATCTTTAATTTCGTCGTACTATGTACAATGACAACAAAGTATATTATATTATTATTATTATTATTTGTTTTTTTTTAATTTTTAACATTTTTACCCCGCCCTCCCCGCAAGCGGACTCAGGGCGGCTTACAAGAGGGCACAAGCCGATGCATAAAAACAAGATAAAACAATAAAACCATTAAACGACAACAATTACAAGGATAAAGTGCTCCATGAAAACAAGATGTCCTCCGAATAATTTCATGATAGTATCAGTCATTTCATTTGGGGGTGATATTGTCCTGTAGATGGTCCAAAGCCAGTCCAGCGGTACCAGTGCCACGCAATATTATGGCAGATCTTCCAAGGACCGCCCCAACCCCGTTGTTGTCCCCACCACCGGTGGTGGTGGCGGCCCCTATATGAAAGCCTGGCGGAAGAGCTCCGTCTTACAGGCCCTGCGGAACTGCATAAGGTCCCGCAGGGCCCTGATCTCCTCCGGGAGCTCGTTCCACCAGGTAGGGGCTGCCACTGAAAAGAAGAAGGGGACAGCAAAGGATGAGATGGTTAGACAGTGATATCAATGCAACGAACATGAAATTAAGCAAACTCCAGAGTACGACGAAAGACAGGAGGGCCTGGCGCGATGTGGTCCGTGGGGTCGCGAAGAGTCGGACTCGACTGTGCGACTGAACAACAACAACATGCCCATTAGACATACTGGCATGCAGGAACCACAAATGACTTGCGTGGTTTCTATCGCAAGACGTCGCAACTACGTCACTGCTCTTCCTGGTTTCTTCCACGGGCATGTGGAGGAGACCTTTCTTCCCGGACCCCGATTCCCCCCGCCTCTTCCGAGCGTCCCTCCGACAGGGCGGCATCTGAGCAGACAGACCCGCCTTACGTTTTAATGCGCCGCATTTCATTTTACTATATTTTAAAATTGGCGTTATGATGTATTTTCATCACTCCCGTTAGCCGCCTCGGTAGCCCTGATTGGGCAGAAAGGCAGAGTAGAAATGCTGTAAATACGGACTGACTCTTTGTAAGGCGGCTTTGTCCGCTCACAGCGCTTTGGGACAACCCTTTCGGTTTTGGCGAGGCCGCCGCTCTTCGCTTGAAACTTTCTCCTTGCCGGGCATCGACCGAATATTCTGCTCAATGTCTCCCCATTCCAGGCGGGCTATGCAGTCGGCCATGATCAAGGACGGGCTGATACCGTGGCTGGTGGAGGCGCTGAAGGACACGGACTGCATGTCGGATTACACCTTGACCTATTCCACCGCCTTGCTCATGAACCTTTGCCTTCGGAGCGCAGGTACCCCGGGACAGCCTGCACGGGGGAAAAGGGGTCGTAGGCAGTGTTCCCTCTAAGCTGGGTTAGTGTGAGCTAGCTCACCGATTTTTAGCCTCCAGCTCACACATTTTTGTCTTAGCACAGGAAGGAGGGCTCCAGAGCAAGCTAATTTATGCAGCAGCCGAATGGTTCACTCACAACTTTCATGCCAGCAGCTCACAAAGTAGGATTTTTGCTCACAAGGCTCCACAGCTTAGAGGGAGTATTGGTCATAGGGTGGCTTCTCTGTTGAGGTTGAGTGTTACCCAAACAATCCTTCATTTCCCAAGACCTATCTTTGGCTCATCCGGATCTGTGTCTTGTTTTTTTTTTAAGTAAATTTATTTGGTTTTTAAAGATAATATGGACATACAACACAAATTCAGACATATAAAACAATACCAACATACAAACATGAATTAGGAATATTTTCTGTATGTTAACACAGTCTAACATGAAAAACAATTAGAACATTTCACTACTAAACACACTCTGCTACTAGAACCATCTTACAAATTTAACTTCCCCTTTTGTTTAACATTTTGTCTAGATTCGTTTTACGAATTTTGAAGTTAGCATTACAATTTGGTTTTTCAAATCACCATTCAAAAGCAGCAATATTCTCTCAAGGCAAAGAAGACAACTTCTCGAATTGATAATCTTATTTCGTTACCGTTTACTCCCAGAATCTATAAATGTCTTATTTCCATACATACATTTATTTATTTATTTATTTTTATTTTCTACTATTCTATTATGTTTAGGATTATAGATTCAGTTTTCCCAATTCAGTTTGGAGCAGGAGTAATAGTCTTTTCAATTCACTTTGAGTACATCTTATTATTGCATAACAATAAAATTATAAGATACCAAAACTAGCTACTCATTCTATACCACTACCTTTAAGATTCAAGTTACGCATTTTGCTAAAGTTAGTTTATACCATTGTTCCCTCTAAGCTGAGTTAGTGTGAGCTAGCACAAAGTTTTTTAGCCTTCAGCTCACACGTTTTTGTCTTTGTTCAGAAAGGATGGCTCCAGAACAAACTAATGTATGCAGTAGCCAAATCACTCGCTCACAAATTTAATGCCAGCAGCTCACAAAGTAGAATTTTTGCTCACAAGACTCCACAGCTTAGAGGGAACATTGGTTTATACCTATCTTAATTTCAGGTTTAACATTGCTCACTTTACATAGAATTTACAGGTCTATTAATTAATACCAGTTAATCCTTCGTTTCCCAAGACCTGTCTTTGGCTCATCCGGATCTGTGTCTTTTGACCCTCCGCAGGAAAGAAAACGTGTGTGAAAATTTCAAACGAGGTTCTCAAAGTTCTCTCTGATCTCCTCGGCCATGAGCACCACGAGGTACGTCTACAGCTAAGACTTGCAGGTGTCTAGAAGGGAAAAACACAGTGGGCTGGGTCCCATGGATCTGTTTTTCCTGCACAAGCTGATTTCCGAAGTCCAGTACTTTCTAGAAAAAGACAAACAGAATGTGTGGAGTTTCTCCTGAATAAAATTCGGGGGGGGGGGGAGAAGAAGAGATTGGATTTGTACCCCGCCCTTCACTGCCCAAGGGAGTCTCAGAGCGGCTTACAAACTCCTTTCGCTTCCCCTCCCCACAACAGATACACCCTGTGAGGTAGGTGGGGCTGAGAGAGCTCTTTCGAGGACTGCCCTTGAGAGAACTGCTCTGACAGAACTTGTAACTGACCCAAGGTCATCCACCAGCTGCAATTGAAGGAGTGGGGAATCAAACCCAGTTCTCCCAGATTAGAAGAAGAAGTAGAGGAGATTTGATTTATACCCCGCCCATCGCTACCCAGAGGAGTCTCAGAGCGGCTTACGAACTCCTCTCCCTTCCCCTCCCCACAACAGATGCCCTGTGAGGTAGGCGGGGCTGAGAGAGCCCTGACAGAAACGGCTCTTTTTCAAGGACAGCTCTGAGAGAACTATGGATTGCCCAAGGTCATCCAGCAGCTGCATGTGTAGGAGTGGGGATCGAACCCGGTTCTCCCAGATTGGAGTCCGCGCACTTCACCACTACGCCAAACATGATAACATGCTGGGCTTGGGGGACCCAGGTGGGGTGGTCTCAGCCCAGACATTCCACCGCACGTGCCGCAAAACAGGTCAGAAGGCCAGAGCAGTGGAGTAATGATTTCGGCTCGGATCTTGTGAAAACACTCGCTAATCTCTGCTGCACAGCGCGCTTCCCCTTCTGCTGAAACTTCCGTTTGCACAGGATTAGCGGTTTTAAATGAGCCCTTCTGCAAACGGAAGTGCTAGAGGAAGAGGAAGCCCACTTTCTAGCGTGCCCAGAACTCGTTCCTGGGATCCAAGCCATGCAGCCTGTCCCACCGCACGGCTCACGGCAGGTGTTGATACATTAATCATAAAGCCCCAATTATTAGTTGCTGAAATGCTGCTTGTTATCTAGCCATGGCATCCAAACATGTACCCAAAGAGTCATTCACACATGGAAATCGCTTCCGCAGGAAGTGATGGTGGCTACAAGCATGGACGGCTTCAAGAGGGAATTAGATAAGCATATGGAGCAGAAGTCCGTCAGTGGCTATTAGCCACAAGGTATAGATGGGAACTCTCAGTCTGGGGCAAGGGATGCTCTGTATTCTTGGTGCTTGGGGGGGGGGGGGGCGGGGGGGGGCGTCTTTTG